TAAAATCCTTTTTATAAATCTTTTTCTCAATAATTTTATTATAAACTTAAAAATAAATTAATTTTAGTTAAACTAGAAGATTTATCTGATTTTTATATATAAAAACAATAATTCAAAATCATGACGTCGTCGACTTCAACTCCTCCAATGGCCCCAAAACCTGTTGCCCCGTTGGTTGAGTCACCGGCATTACCTAAATTGAGACACATCGCTCCCGTTCCTTGGGAAACCTGAACATGATCATATTCCAAAAGGTTATGAAGTGGTTTTGTTTCCAAAAACTTATTTCTCTACCGGTCCTTTTCCTACTTCTCCTACCTCCACTATCGTACCTTTTTCACCTGTTGCTTCTGTATCTAGTATCCATGGTTCTCTTTCAAAACTTTCTCCTCCTCCTTCCTCTAAATAGTTCATGGCGCAAACGTAAAAATAATGGTCATATTCCTCGTCCTAAAAATTGTTTCATGGCCTATCGTGAATATATGGAACCTGAAATTCTTAAAAATCCTAGAATGAATAACGAACATGTTTCAATTGTTGTTGCTGAAATGTGGAAAAATGAACCTGAAGAGTTAAACAATTCTGGTGTGCTCGTGCTCAACGGTTGAAACTTGAACATATGCTAAATATCCTAATTATAAACCCGCTTCTAAAAAGAAACAACCTAAATCTTCTAATAAAATTGAAAGATGCTTAATTTTTAGTTCTATATATTTCAGGTTTCGCAGTATATGCTTTTAGATTTCATGATGTACGCTTTAAATCAGGTTTAGCAATATAACCTTCGTTTAGATTTTGCGACATATATTTCGTATTATATTTAATATTTAGCATTTAGCTTAGGTTGTATTAATTTGAACTATGTATATATGCTCAGCTTGGATTTCACGATACATATTTAGCTTGGTTTCGCAATATATATTTAATTCAGATTCGTAGTATTCGTTTAGTTTAATACCTGTACTTTTTATTAATCGTTGCCAATCAATAAAAAAAAACATACGTATACCACTCAGCATGTATTCGTTATTATTTATTATTCGATTACATTTATTTATATTAGATTTTTGTTATCGATTAAAAAAATTATAATATAACTAAAGATTTCACAGAATTTATAAAAATATTATTAAACATATTATGAACACTATTGTTACTGCTACTAATTCCAGGTACACCTGTAGCACCAGTACTTTGACACATGGCAGCACAACTTTTTTTAAACGCCAAATCCAAACCAACGTGTGCAACCAATAATAAGAAAGTAAGAAGTAATGATAACAACTATACCAATTATTATTATCATTATAATCTTACCAATGAAAGATCCAGCGTCAGAAAAGTTAAATTCAAGTATTTGAGTATCAGTAAAGTTAAGTATAGGCATTTGAATAACAGGAAAGTTAAGTATAGGCATTTGAATAACAGGAAAGTTAAGTATGGGTAGTCGAACAACAGGAAAGTCAAGTTCAGGTATTTGAATATCAGGAGAGTTAAGTTCAAGCATTTTAAGACTGGAATAATCTGCGTTGTTCGTATAGACGTCTAAAGACTTGTCATTAACTTTGATGTATTTGGTGAACATGACCGTAGTCTCATCTGTGGGTTGTGCGATTAGCCCTCTGGTAGATTTTTCATGTATAGGAAGACTAAAAGCAAATTGGCATAAAAATATTATTATTATTATGAACTTCATAATTATAAATTCAGAAAATGAGATTGTTTTTTATTTTTTGAAAAAAAAAAATCACAAACACTTATCGTTATAAACTATTTGATTATGTGGCATAGTTAGGAACAATTATTGACTAGAACGGTTCTGGTGGCTTAGCTAATGTAATTAAAACGTGTCGACAGTGTGCTTGATGTTTCTTGCATAGCACAATCCTTCAAAGACTCGATCAAAGTGAGATGCCTTAGAAGTAAAGGTGTGAAGTTGGAATAGTGCCGTACTCCACATGCCGAACAGCTTTTCCTAGAACAGAATACGCCATCGAAAAGAGTTCTAATGTTAGTACATAATATGAATACCTGTTTTAGCATTAGCATTAGCACTAGGCAATTTTTTAAACATTCAGTCTGTAAGATCAAGTGTAAAACCTCGGATGGGCGTACGACCCGAATTAAGTTTAATTCGGGCCGTAATGCCCATGCTCGATATATGAAGATCTTAAGTTGAGCGGCAGCAAACGAAAAATGTCAATACAAATCCTTTCTTGGTTCCTTTATAATCGTCACAAACGAACCAGATGAAGTAACTTAATGATAATCAAGCCCGTTTCACCGACTTTTAAATGCTAATCTAAACGGATATTTTGACAATATCTAATTTTCCAAATAATTTAATTGGACATAATGAAATTTTTATTGGTTATAATGGATCTGCATTTCATCAACCGACAACTTAATTTATCAACAATTAATTTACAAACAAGCTTATTTTACCGACAATTTATTTTACTGACTTTTTCTTATAAATTGTACTAACCTTAACTCTAATTATAAACCTGACCCTAATGACAATAACCAGAATTACTTTATCAGTGAAATGAATTGGGGTCTTTGCCTTGAAAATGACCTTACGGTATCATGTACCGTAAGGTCATTTTCAAGGCAAAAACCCCAATTGTCTGCGAAAAGAACTTGTCTGTAAAGCAATCGTTAGTATAATAAGTTTGTAAATTAGTTGTCGGCGAATTAAGTTTTCAAAGTAATTTGTCGATAAAATAAAGAGCCGTTACATTTATATAGATTATTATGGATAATTAGATTCTTATTAGATTGCTATCCAATAAAATTATTGGACAATTGGAACATATGTCCAATTATTTTCCAAAAGTCCAATTAAATTTATTTGGACATTGTCAAATGACAACTCTAATCAAACCTTGCCCGTCAGAATATTCGCCAATAAAAAATCGGAATCAAATGCAACATATATTTCGGTCAAAAGTAAGGGAAATTCGGATATTTATTGATCAATTTTTTTATATCCGTTGAAAAATTCGAATAAATATCCGATACATTCATTAATATTTGATGATAATCGATGTACAAACTTTAAAGGCCTTTTTTTTTTTTTTTTTTTTTACTTTCGACTTGGTTGAAACTCTCGCACTATTCATTACACGTTATATTACGTCACCCATAATCATAATTACAAGCTAGGGTAAGGCAAAAACAATGGTTCGGTCTCGTGACCGCGGTCCCTTCGATAGTCTGAAAATCAAGGAATTTACCGTTATATCAAACCTTTATCATATTACACCTTATTTATTTTGACTTTTCAAACTGGACTAGAAAGGTGGGCGGCATCCTTCTGTCACGATTAATCTGCCTACGTATACTGTAACAATAACATCTGGATAAGATTTCAAGATTAAGTCTAACGTGACACGATCAGAGCAGGCATTCGCTTTGTCAAAAATAGTTTAAATCTACATAAGAAACCATCTTTAATACTTTATTAAAAATTGAACAATTTTATTATATTGTTAATCCTAATCGTGGTGCACTAACTTTAACGTCAATGAACTTTAAAATCTTTTCTGTGCCACAAACCTGGCACACATTTCAGAGGTGCATCATGATTTTTATCTAACTATAATAGAACTTTTTAAACTACTCACACTCGTTAGGTTCATACAGTATATTAAAAACCTAGATTTAGAAATAATTATATTTGTTGATACCTTTAAGTCTACTTAAATACGAAAACATTATTCTATCATTTATTAAATTTTAATTTTTTAATTATATTCATCGAATTTAATCGGTAAATATTGGTTTTCAGAGCTGGTGAAATAATTACGTATGCGAATACTGTATCGTCGCGAAATAATGCCTCGAGGAGTTATTTCGCGACAATATGGTAATTATTCAACAAATCAGGCCTTTATATTGATGAAATAATAATTATTCTGAAAGAATTTGTTCATATTAGAAGATATTAAATGTTTCAAAAATTTGAATTACTGAATATTCAGATAAAGCATTAAAGAAAATATTTTGATACAGTTCTTTATATGGCCACCTTTAATATTATAAAAAATCTATTTATTGTTATAACCACAATCTCTGTAATCACATTTAAATTTTCTTTTGAAGTATATAAAATCTATAAAAATAAATTACAAGTTCTAAGGCTACACATAATATACTAACCTGCAATAGGTATGTGTAGGTTTATAGTATGTATAATATTTATTGTTGTAACAAACGGAACAATATTACTGTATTAACGCAATATTAAAAGTTAAAAGGTGAACAAAATATCAATTATATTAAATTACTATTCATTTAGAATTTATAATTAAACATATTATGATAACTATCGCTACTGCTACTAACAATATCAAACATAGTCCAGGCGCACCTGTAGCACCAATACTCTGACATATAGCAGCACAACTTCCTGCCAAGATTCCACCGGGACGAAATCCCAAACAATAAGTACATCCCATAATAAGTAAATAAGAAGCAATGATAACAGCTATAACAATTATTATTATCATTAAAATCTTAACAATAAAAGATCCAACGGCAGAAAAGTTAATTTCAGGCATTTGAATATCAGGAAAGTCAAGTGTAGGCATTTGTACATCAGAAAGGTTAAATTTAGGTAATTGAATATCAGGAAAGTCAAGTGTAGGCATTTGAATATCAGGAAAGTCGAGCTCAAGCATTTTAAGACTGGAATATTCTGCGTTGATCGTATAGACGTCTAAAAACTTGTCATTAATTTTGTCGTATTTGGTAAACACGACTGTAGTCTCATCTGTGGGTTGTGTGATTACCGTAAAACGCCGTATAAGGTACCCGGGTATCTTACAATTCACATGATAAAAATTTGATTTGTACCCCCCGGG